GACGCGTTTCAGAAAGGCGGGGCATACAAGAGAAACAATAATGTACAGTATGTGGAAAATAATGTGTTTTTTGAACCTTAAACCGCATAAACACATTTCATTACACCAAATACACAAAATAATGTTCTTTTTAGCAACATCATATGACCCCTTTAAAGATGTGGTCTGAGATTTGAGCTCTGTAACAGACCGCAAATGCTGCACTAGAATTAGTGGTCAGATATCTGGCAGGTGCTGTTTTTATTAAACAAGACCAGGAAGGCCAAATATAAGCTTGTGGTTTAATAGCTTATAAAGGAGACATCTATAGTGAATGACAGATGTTTACAACTTTTACATTGAGTGTAGACAAGAACGTTTGGAATTCAGTTGTAGTTAGTTTTAAGGGGTTTAGAACTTTTCTCACATGTTGGGAGACCAACAGGTTAGGGTTTGGACTGTGAGAAGAAGGGCTGGCTTTGACAAATAAATATAACAGTTGGCTGGCACTTTATTAGGAAGACATCCAAAAGAAAATATGAAGAATGAATCAACTATATAAATCCCATTTTATCCCATTTATACTACCATTCAGAGGTTTGGGGTCTTTAAAGTTTTTGAAACAAGACACTTACACTCTATCTAAGAAAACCGTAGAAACCGTGATCAATTTTTTTTTAAAGATTCCTTGATGAATAGAAAGTTTTAAAGTATTTATGTGAAATAGTCATTTTTTGGAAACAAAGTAAGTCTTTACTGTCACTATTGATCAGTTTAATGCATCTCTGCAGAATAAGAGTATTCATTTCTTTTCTTTTCTCTCTTTTTGAACAGTAGTGCAGTGTTTCCCCTGCCATTATTTTAGGGGGGCGATTGCTTTTGTAATGCAAGAATAAGGCAGCAGGCTTTACTGAGAATGGAAGTGCGACTCAGTGGAGGGCAATTGTGAAATCTATTCACTTCCTCTGCTGGCTGTCCATCACTCCTACATTGTACAAGGCAATATGATATTAAAGCACTGGCAGTGCCCTTTAGCCATGTGGTAAAGACGCACATGCACAAACACACATACGCAAAGGCATACAAGCAGAATGCCCCATCTACTTTAATAAAGGCCACACAGGCATCTCTCAGTATATGTCAGACATCCTTCGAGTCCAAAACAGAGCTGGCAACAGCTTCAGTGGTAATGGAGAAGTGTGGAGAACACGACACATCTGAGCTTACATACACCCACACACACTTAGAAATGCAAGTATACATTCTACACACTCCTGCACATAGAGTAATCTTCCCCTTTGAGGCTTATTTCATGTGACACGTTTCATCCCATGAAAAAGTCATGAGACGAGCTGGATCCAGAGCTGGAAGGAAGAGTGAGATTATGCGGCATGTAAGATGCTTCTGAGAACCTCTGTGCAAACTCTCAGAAACGTCTCAGTATCGCTGCCCTCCACAGATTGAATAGAGAGCTGTTGGATGCGAAAGCTTGATGCTTTGTGGATAAGAACTGCCTCCTTTAATTTTGAGCACAGGAATAGAGGTTGAAATCAGATGCTCTATTTCTGTAGAAGAGTGAGAGAGGGAGACATGAGCTGGAAAATCCTGCTGGAAAACCCCTGCTGCTCTGTTTGAATGTGTTTTCCATCCTTCTCCCACCACATTCCTCTCACACCCGTTCTGCCTTTTCTTTTCTTTTCTTTTCTTCTCTTTTCTTTTCTTTTGTTTTTGCTGTTTTTGCTGTTTTTGTTTTTGCTTTTATGTTTGTGTTTGTGTTTTAGGTTGTTTTTATTCTTTAAGTTTTTTTGTTTGTGTTTTGTTCTGTTGTTTTTGTTTAGTTTTTAGTTTTGGTTTGTATTGGTTTTGTTTTTGCTGTTTTTGTTTGTTTCAGTTTCTTTTTTTGTTTAGTTTTTTTACGTACACTGCATTGTGGTGGTAAATTCTGCATTGGCAAGTACCACACAGATTTTCAACCACACTCTCTCACTCTGTTTTTTTCTTTTTCTTTTTCTCTCTCTCTGTTTTTTTATTTTTTATTTTGCAATGCAATGCAATTAATTTTCCTCATTCATTTGGTCATTAGATGGGACAGCCTAATAGAGGAGCACCTGAGCTTTTAATGGTTGCTTTGTGCTATAACTCTTCTCAGAGAATTTAGTCAAAACTAATTGTGTGTTGCTCCTCACTACAAGTAAAACATGTATTCCCATATGTAAATGCTGAAGTATTGTTTCACAATAGCTTAGAGGCTTTGGAACGCCGAAAGACCAGTAAAGTGGAAGCTCATTGGAAGCTGTGTAGAGAATCTTTGTGTACAAAACTGTTATAAAGAAAATGATCAAATCTTACAGTTTACTAAGCTGTGTGTTTTGAGATTAACATTTGCACTCTATCTTTGTTTTTCTGCTTTCTCTGATTTTGATCTCTCATCTTTCCCACAGGTGCAGTTAATGGTGGATGAGTATAAGGCAGCTAGCTTAGCTGCCTCTAAGCTCTGCGAGCAGATAAGTGAGCTGCTTTTGGTGCGTGTGGATGGCAAGATGGTCTATGGAGACCTGGAGTTACAGGAGGATCAGCAGAGTCATCAGCATAGCCAGCTGCTCCGACTGCAGAACGCTCACCAGGACATCATCAAAATCATGGCCAGAGTCTATGGGACCTTCCACCTAGATGGCCCAGAGGTTGGACTGTCTGTTTGTTGTGTCTTAGGATCTTTTCTACTAAAGCAATACATTGTGATTTAATGATTTACCTTGTTTAAGGAGTGTTGTTGGTGTAAAATCAGCACAATGCACAACCTAAAGTAGCTTGAGGTTGTTATGGTAAGGACTTCCGATTGACTTCCATATTTGTGTGTGTTTTCAGGTGCAGCAGCATTGGGTGTCATACATGGAGAAGATGGACCGAATGGTTGAGGAGGCGTTTCGTGTGAATATAAAGCGCTCTCTACAGGAGCTCTCTAAAGCCATCAATGGAGACAGCAAGACATCCCCGAACCCCTTATTCAGAGTAGAGGTGGTACTGACACAACAGACTCCTCGGTCTCCTGCTCAGGTACACACAGACAGACTCTATTTGTCAAATCTAATAATGCAGTGGCTATTGATAACATTGCTTACGTGACGAGGTGACCCTTACCTCACATTTAGACATCACAAACATACCCTCTGTGATTTCAAGGCAAAAAGTTTAAATACAAAAACTGTGTCGATTTATTGTGTTGGTCACGGAGAGCTGCTGGCCATGTGTTTTACATACAGCATAAAGACACTATCATACATCAAGCAGAGGGCATTCAGAACACCACAACCTCTATAAATCACAGCTGTGGCAGCACTGCTGCGTTATTCAGCATTTTACTCTACTGCTCAGCTCTACAGAGGTATATTTGGACTAAGGCCTATGGGTAATGTCCCATGATGCTTAGTCAGCTAAACACAGTGAGAAAGAAAAAGCAGAAACGTTAGTGTGACTTAATTGAGTGTATTTTAGGGACAGTGGTTGCATTGGTCTGTGGAGACCGACTGCCTCAGGCAAAGCGCTCTAAGTGCCAGACGGAAGGGAAATGCATTAATGCTAGCTCAGGACACACCATCAAAGGCCCTTTCACACTGAATGCAAAATGAATAAGCAAAACAAATCATTGATGAATGGTCTGTTCACACCAAGAGCGAAACGAATATCCGTCAGGCTGATCGACAACCGAATGCACGCTGGTACAATAGTTGCTGCGACACACCTTTTCCAGCTCTCACAGTGACAATTATAAACGGTCACAGAAACCACAAGACACTGGACAAGCTAGCAAGATCAAGATTCTGTTATATTTCAGGAATAAAAATAAAAATTGATTCTGAGACTCATGATTCTATATTTGAAAACTTTCCTACATTAACAGAGTCAGAGTGGTCACATTTACATACTTTTGTGATGAAACTTCACATGAGAACAGTCAAAACATTTTTGGGCTATCAACATGAAAAGTGATGCAGTCCTTATTAACATATCATTTGATTATTTGCATTTTTTGTAAATGATTTTGTGAATAATTCCTTTTCAGTTCATTTACATGTTATTTTTCCTTGAAGCTGTGTGTTAATGTGTTCACTACAATAGGAAAAATACACTAAAAGTTTATTAGAGAGGTTTATTTGGTCAAAATTTAGTAAAAACAATGAATATTTACAATTCAAAATAACTTTAATATATTTTTAAATGTAATTAATTCCTGTGTTGGCTTAGCTGAATTTTCAGCAACCATTAATCCAGTTTTCATTGTCACATGATCCTTCAGAAATTATATGCTTTTGCTTATAGGCTGATTTGGTGATCAAGAAACATTTTTAATGGTTCTTTGAATATATATATTCTTTGAAAGTTCAAAAAACAGTATTTATTTTCAACATAGAATTCATTTGTAACATTACTCTGTTGCAAAATGTCTTTACTATCACTTTTGATCAATTTAATGCATCCTTGCTGAATAAAATTATTTACAAAACATATTGACCCCAAACTTTTGAACTATAAATAAATCACAAAATTAATACCATGTAATTGTTGTTATCATTTGGCAGCCCTAGTTTGTATTTAATGAATATAATGATTCTGTCCTTGAAAATATTTTTCCCCTGTTTGTGCCACAACATTTTTTCCACTGTATGTGTTTGTGTTTGTTTGTCCAGGTGGATTTCTCCCCTTCTCTCCAGAAACTGGCCCACATAGTGAACAGCATTAGCTCTCAGCTCATCAAGACCATGTCAGGGTTCAAACGTCTGCCAGACCTGCTGACCCGCCAGCACTCACAGCGAAAACCTATCCACAGCATCATCGGTACACCCTCTCTCAATCTCATTCGCCATATCCCTCCTACGTTTGCCATGTATGCCCTCTTTTTATTCCTGTTTCCTCACCTTCATGTCATTCCAAACTCATATAACTTCCTTCTGTGGGACACAAAAGGAGAAATTATGAATTGTATGGATCCACTCTCTTTATACAAAATCCTTCTTTTGTATTCCACTGAAAGAAGGAAGTGAATGACACATGGGTGACTAATTGATGATGAGAATTTTCATTTTTGGGTTAAAAAAAATCCATTCACATCATCATTTGTGTATTGCTTAAAATAATCAGCAGTTGTTTGGCATCAACAATGCTTTACTCCTTTTCTGTTTCAGAGCAAGATGAAGAGATCTGTAAGCTCCAGGGAGCCATAGCTGCAGGAATGGTGACTAATGCATCTTACCTGCAGACCTACCTGAAGACCTGGGACAAACACAGAGAGATCTGGGAAATCGAAAAAGACGGCTTTATACAGCGCTACCAGCGGCTCAACCCTACAGTAACCTCCTTTGACGCTGACATAGCCAGGTCTGTAACTTTCCTTCATTCTCTTTTAGTAGAAAAATTAGTTTTTAAGGTTGTAAAAGCAGGGTCTAAATGGTCTAAAAAGTATGCGCTAGTAAGATTTGTGAGCTTATGTATTATTCGCAGTGCTACTAGTAAAATAAATGTTTCTTTAGTGAACAAATCCACTAAAGGATTTACCATGTTTCTCTCACCATCATACATGCATCTCTTTTCATTTAAAATGCATGAGTCGTGCAAGCACACTAGAGGGGTGTGTTTGAGGTCACATGAGAAACGATGTGATGGCCTTTCAGACTATTGACGTGTCTGTAGCACAGATGTGCCAGTCCTGAGGGGCAGGGTCAACATCTTTTCCCTATAGATTTGATCTGCACTCGCCAAATCGTTATCATGTCAACAATGGATGCTTGAGTGTGTGTGTGGATCAGAAAGTGAGTGTGTGCAGTGAGACAGAGACTTCGTGTGTGATTGTGCATTAATGACCTCGTGCATGCTGGGAGGACACTTGTGTGTTGCCTGCCGCCCCCGTTAATGTCTGAAGTTTTTTTCACATCAATTAATGCATGCACAGACACATTTTATTTTAAACGACTATGGTTAATGTAACTTCTTGCTTTATCTTCACACTCACTCACAAAATCAAATGATGCTGAACTGTTTTTTTCTTGAAAAACTAATTTCATTTACAGTAGGTATGTTGTACTGAGATGACAAATTAAATTGCTATTAATAGGGCAACGTTTATGAGTGAGCAAAAACAAACAAACAATCAAATTACATTATCTTACAGATTACAAAAGTAATTTAGTGGCCATTAGTAATAATTAAAATCATTATCTTTTAAAATGTACCAACAATAGCGGTAATGAGAATATGTAGTGTAGAGAATATGAAGTACAGATACAATTACAACATTCTTAGGAAGAAAAAATTAAGAGACAAGCATCCAAGTGTCCATCTTTGAACTCTTTTGAACTTTAATTACAGATTTATCAAGGGAAAATACATCTTTGTTGCTTTCACAAAACAGCATAAAGTGTTGCCATTTTGAGAACTTACTTGATGAACTTGAGGTGTTTTTTATTATATTATCCAGGTAGTCATGTTAGATTTTTTTTTTTTACATAACACAACTAAAAAATAAAAAAAAAAGCCAAAATAAGACTTTAAATGATTGGTAATCTTTAAGAAGGAGCACATCTCTTGTGTTAAAATGTACATAATAGAATTTTTTATATATACATTTTCATTGTGCTATGGTTTAAGATTAGTTTCATGAGAATCATCTACTTCATTTATGCTCTGTCTCTCTCTCTTTGTGCAGATACACAGAGGTGGCGAATAACGTCCAGAAGGAGGAGACAGTGTTAAGTCTGCAGTTCGTGTTGCTGGACTGTTCTCCACTCAAATTCTCTCTGCTGCAACATTGTAACGAGTGGCAGAGCAAGTTCACGCAGCTGCTCAGCCTTATGGCCAGTGCCAAACTAAAGGAATTGCACAGCTTCCTGCAGGAAAACGCTCTCAGGTGTGTGTGAGAGCTCTGTTACAAAATCGTGCCTCGCTGTCTGCTCTCTATATAAGCAGCTGGGATCCTAACTGAAATGAAACCTCATAAGTGACCAATCTGAAACGCTCTTCATGGGCAGCGACCCTTTTAATGGTCACTCATGCATGCCACAGCAATTAACACCCCTCACGTGAAGAGCATAAGAGACTCGACAAACCTCTCTGTTGATTCCAATAGAGTCTGGCATTAGCTTGTTGCTAAGCTAATGGCCTGACATGCTAATAAATAGTTCCATCGACTAGCAAGAGAATATCGTGGAGATTCAGGGATGGGCTCTTTTGACTTGAGCCAGTGTTATTTTGGTATCATTGAGATACTGTTATAGTTTTTAATTAATATTTTGAACTAGTAGAAGTTTTTATTTCTGTTTTCATTTTATTGTAGTTAAAATTTTAGCAATTTTGTTGTGTAGCAACAGCCCTGCCACAGCATTTCATCATGCTAAAAACCACTCAGAATTCCTTATCAACTCCATAGCGACATATACTAAAAAGTTACATTGGTAGGCAGCTCAATATGTTTTGAAACAGGGCATCTATGTGACTAGTTCTGAGTTATTGTGTGTAATTCACTTCATTCAATAGGCATTAAATATTTACCATGCGCACAGAGTCATTGGCTGTGTGTGTTTTCAGGGTGTCTCAGCCTCCTCAGACTCTGCCGGAGTTGGGAGAGAGTCTAAAACTTCTGGAAACTCTGCAGGCAGATCTGAGTAAGATAGAAAGTCAGATTCCGCCCATCCACGAGCAGTTTGCCATCCTTGAGAAATACGAGGTTGCCGTCGACCCCGCTGTGAGTGTCGCGCCACACACACACACATACACTCCCTCAGGTGTTCCAGTCAAATCTTCTTCTAAATACACTTTCATCTTTTGCCTCCATTTCATATTTGACTGTGCTTTTATTTTTATTTCAGCGCTCTTAGATTTTCTTTTTCTCTTGCTCTTTCTTTCCGTCTCTGTAGGTGTTGGAGTTGCTGGAGGCTCTGAATTCAGAGTGGGTGTGGTTCCAGCAGGTTGTGATTGACAGTGACATCATGTTGAAGAAACACAAAGACATGATGAAGAGTGGGCTGGTCCTCTCCTCTGAGGAGTTTAAGAAGAAGACACAGTCTGCCCTGCAGAGCTTCAATAGCAATGGTGAACGCACACATGCACACCAACGTGAGAGATTTGAATGTTACAGAATGGGAAAACACAGACACACAAACACGCGGTCAGTAGGATGACTGCCAGTGCTGTCTCAGACCCTACTGTGAGCTTCACATCCCAGTATGCCTCTTTTTCTGTAGGTCAGTTCGCTACATGGGCGGCACCGCAGGCCTTTGCTTTCTGGGACCGTGGGTGTTCTGCGTGGTGGGAAGTGCTGGGTAGAGCCATGAACCTCCCACATGCCCTACAGCACATCACAACCAATTAGCCTTGAGATAATGTTTCAGAACGCCATGGAGCCTCACCTACAGCAGAAGTGACCGTCACGCTGACATCCTGCCCTTGACTGCACTCTCAGCCTTTCTGCCTCCCTGTTTCTTTCTTTCTCTCTCTCTCTCATTGTCCTGTAATGCTGCTCCACCTCCTGCTGGTGTCTCTGCTCTGTTTATTCTCTGCTCTATTAAAAATGGGATTGAAAAATAATTTTTTCTGTCTCGCGCTGCCACCTCTCTTCACGAACAAAGTCACGTTGTGCCGAATTGTATCAAAGAGGACAGAGTTTTCGTCCTACTTTTCCTTCCCTCTTCTTTCATTCTTCCCTTTTTCTTGCACTTCTTTTCTCACTCGCTCCCCATTTCGTTTCCATTGTGTTTGCGTTACCTTGTGATCGTTGATAGCTCTGTGAAGTCTGTTGTTTTTCAGTTTGATCTCCTGCCATTCCTTCCCTGTGTCTTTTTCTCCTATGTTCTTCTCCTCCCAGTACGAGTCCAAAAGCCTTTCCGTCTTGATTCAGACAAAGTTGGAGTTTTGGCACAGCCGATTAACACGAAAGCTTTGCGCTAAATCAACACGTGGCAAACACGCTCAACGCTCACCGTCATTATTTCCCACAACCCCAGAATTTCCGAATGTGGGCGGCAGCTGCAACTTGTTGAGAACGGCAGGATTGTTTGGATTGTTCCTGCAAACAATGGCAGGCTCCTTCAGGTTAATGAGGCCAGGAAGCAGCTTTGTGCAGGGAGAAATTTGTATTCAAGAGAGAGAGACAGTTTCAATAATATCACACTCATTCAGTCCAAACACACACTACTGGCCCCTGCCAAGGTGCCCCTTCAAAATCTCATCTCCTGCTCTCCATGGACCCAGCGTGACTTTCCCTCTCAGATCCGGCACGGAGGAAAAATACGACATTGCGTTTCTCAGCGCAGAACCAATTAAACATGTATGATTGGTTGAAGTCTCCAAGGCAGATTTATCAAAAATTTAGCACATTTTAACATTTGCTAATTAGATTTTCTTTACGTTTTACTCGGGCACAACGGAGAGAGAGAATGGGCGTCATCAAACCTCTCAACACCCATGCTCCGGAATGCGTTCTGCTCCAGCGACGCACTTCAACATGTGCTATATGCTTCAGTAAATCAGACTTTACGCAAATATTGACTGGAGATCCCCGATGGATCTTCATATGCTGCTTAATGGCTCGCCTTAATGCTGAATTGTGTAAATGTGTGTTTTTTGTAATTGCCGGAGATGCAAGTGTGCGATTTAGCCAGTGTGTTTGATGGAATCCATTATAAACGCTGACAGACGTAGCTCTTTTAAAAACAGGATTGAAATTTTTTTTTTTTTTCTGTCTCGCACTGCCACCTCTCTTCACAAACAAAGTCACTTGTGCCGAATTGTATCAAAGCGGACAGAGTTTTCGTCCTACTTTTCCTTCCCTCCTCTTTCATTCTTCCCTTTTTCTTGCACTTCTTTGCTCACTCGCTCCCCATCTCATTTCCATTGTGTTTGCGTTACCTTGTGATCGTTGATAGCTCTGTGAAGTCTGTTGTTTTTCAGTTTGATCTCCTGCCATTCCTTCTCTGCGTCTTTTTCTCCTATGCTCTTCTCCTCCCAGTATGTATCCAAAAGCCTTTCCGTCTTGATTCAGACAAAGTTGGAGTTTTGGCACAGCCGATTAACACGAAAGCTTTGCGCTAAATCAACACGTGGCAAACACGCTCAACGCTCACCGTCATTATTTCCCACAACCCCAGAATTTCCGAATGTGGGCGGCAGCTGCAACTTGTTGAGAACGGCAGGATTGTTTGGATTGTTCCTGCAAACAATGGTGGGCTCCTTCAGGTTAATGAGGCCAGGAACCAGCTTTGTGCGGGGAAAAATTTGTATTCAAGGGAGAGAGACGGTTTCAATAATATCAAACTCATTCAGTCCAAACACACTACTGGCCCCTGCCAAGGTGCCCCTTCAAAATCTCATCTCCTGCTCTCCATGGACCCAGCGTGACTTTCCCTCTCAGATCCGGCACGGAGGAAAAATACGACATTGCGTTTCTCAGCGCAGAACCAATTAAACATGTATGATTGGTTGAAGTCTCCAAGGCAGATTTATCAAAAATTTAGCACATTTTAACATTTGCTAATTAGATTTTCTTTACATTTTACTCGGGCACAACGGAGAGAGAGAATGGGCGTCATCAAACCTCTCAACACCCATGCTCCGGAATGCGTTCTGCTCCAGCGACGCACTTCAACATGTGCTATATGCTTCAGTAAATCAGACTTTACGCAAATATTGACTGGAGATCCCCGATGGATCTTCATATGCTGCTTAATGGCTCGCCTTAATGCTGAATTGTGTAAATGTGTGTTTTTTGTAATTGCCGGAGATGCAAGTGTGCGATTTAGCCAGTGTGTTTGATGGAATCCATTATAAACGCTGACAGACGTAAACAGTCACGCCTATAAACATATCACAGAGGCTTCTGGGGCAGATAACGGGCCCTGCTGGTGTCTGTGTGAGTGTGTTCCTGTGTGTTACTGTAAACGTTGTGTGTTGCCATCTTGAGATGAATGAGACGCTTTTTAAAAGATCAAATATCTCGTAAATCAAAGCTGTCACAAGTGCGCGTGGATCGTGGGAGTCCGGGCTTGTGAGCGGAGCTGGGTCCGAGCCAGAACTCACGCTCTGCTCAGGAAAGAGACCTACTGACCTGCTGAGCTCCCAACTGTGAAACCACATTAATAGCACATTGTGAGAAACATGCTCACTTTGCTAACTTTCTGGCCAATAGGAATCCATTGAGCTTTTTTTAGAGCAACAAGCTGCTCTCCGGGAAATGACAGCTGAATGTGCAGTTTTTTAATCATTAACCATATGCATCTGTGTGCTTGTGTGTGTGGTCTTATCTTTGTCTTCATGTATATGATCTTATTTGTGCGTATATGTATGTGCAGGTCCATTTGGCAGAAGTGTAGCCCCAGATTCTGCACTGCAGCAGGTGTCAGAGCTGCGTGCCCAGTTGGATACTCTTAAAGAAGAGCAGCAGAACATACGCTATGGTCTCAACATCTTTAATATTGAACAACCAGCTTCTAAAGACATCCTCACTCTTGAGAAGGTGCCTATTCACTGCTGTTACAGTAATAAAAACCTTTTTTCGTACAATACATCACAGACACACAACATAAAGCAGCACACCAGAGCGCAAACAGGCTGAGGGCGATATTGAACAATATTGATACTGTTGGTGAAGGTCACTTCTGGTTCAGTATGTGCTGATGTTTAGATTGTGTTTGTGTGTGTGTGTTTGTAGGACATGAATTACCTGCAGCAGGTATGGGAGATCGCCCAGCAGTGGGAGGCTCTTTGGGACGAGTGGAAGGGGGGTCACTTGGCCTCTCTACAGACCGAGGCCATGGATAACACCACCCAGACCATGTTCAAAAGACTCCACACACTCAGCAGGGAGTTCAAGGCAAGCCAGCGCAACACACCCTACACGTCTGGTGTTAACTCAACTGTAGTCAGATCCATGGCCAAACTGACATTTATGGGAGTTTCCAATAAACATTGTTAGTCTTCAGAATAGTACAGACTTTATTGTTTAAGCTATGTAGTGTTATGACAATTAAATGTGTCAAAATATAACACTAAAATAATACATAAATAATAAATATAAAAAATATATAAATACATTAAAAATATTTAAAAAGTTCAAAAGTTTTGGGTCAGTAGAATTGGACGTTTCCACAAAAATATCCAGCAGCACAACAGTTTTCAACACTGATAATAATAATAAATAAAAAAAAGGATTTCTGAAGGATCAGTTGACAATGAGTAATGGCTGCCAAAAATACAGCTGTCATCACAGGAATAAATTACATTTTAAAATGTATTAAAATAGAAAACGTTATTTTAAAATGTAATAACATTTCAAAATATTAATGTTTTTACTGTATTTGTGATCAAATAAATACAGCCTTGGTGAGCAGAATTTATTTAAAAGCTTAAAAAAGGTTACTAACATCAAATATTTAAATGGTACTGTATATTGTAATGTTTTTTTTATTTTTTTATAATTTTTTTTTTTACACTTTTTGATTTGCTAATGTAACTGGAAGTGATGCACGTGTTTCATCTTCATATTTTATGTTTTCAGCACAGACTCTTATTTCTTTCCAGCTGTGGTATTATGTATAATATATAAAAACAATACAAATAATATTTATTAATATGTACTTTTAATTTTAAATTTAATTAAGCACCACAATTAACAGGTTGAGTACTAAGACCTTCACATAAAAAAAACTAGCAGCCATCAGGACCCACTTAACTGCTATCAGTGGCGTCAGTGATGTCTCAGTCTCTCACTCATCTTCTACTCTGTTCACACACATACTGATGCTACTTCATTAGGGTCCATTTCTTCGTTTCTCTTTGTAACTGTGATAAAAACCCTTTTGTGTAGCTAATTACCCTTTAAAGCTAATTTAGCTTCTCTTCTCACCAGCTTCTCATTATCCTGACATTTAGCTTTAAGCAGATTAGAAACACCTGCTTGATTCAGACCCTTTGGGTGCTTTTCCACTGACAGGAGATCAGTCCATCACAACACAGCACTCAGCATTTTACACCGCAGCTTGCAGTGGGATCCTGACTATTACAAATGTGTGTGTTCTTTCAGGACAAGCACTGGGAGGTTGTGGACTTCTCTAAGAGCAGGATCATGCAGTTTAAGAAAATCATCCCACTGATCACAGACCTCAGAAATCCAGCCATGAGAGAGAGGTGGGGGTCTTTCACACACACACACAAATCAGTGTCCTCAGCATAATGAAATGTCATTCTCACTCTCACACTAATCTTCCTTCCTCAAGAGTGGTTCCTGACAAAATGACACTGTCGTCTTTCCTGTTGTCTCTTCAGCGGACTATCTCTCTTTGTAACTTCTCTCTGTTCTGGATATTGCCCTCTGTATCTTGTGACCTGAGGTGTGCTGTAAAGTATGGCTGATAATCATCAGCGGCAGAGGTTTGCTGCCGATTGCTGTTCTAAGATCAGCTGTATAATCCCACACCTTGACAGCCAGCCCTCAGTTACAGCTCGTCACCCCTCTCCTTTCTATCACGCAGAGCGTTTATGCACTCCGGCGCCATCCCTGCCAAGAGAAACGCGACGTTTTCCACTCTTCGTTTTTCTTCTGCCCTGTCATTCGCTCCCTAAGCCATCTGATTGGATCTGGCATTCCCAAAACAACAGCCCATCAGCCCCAATCAGGCGTGCTACAACAGCCCTGGTGGAGACGGCAGAGACAGGCCTCACGTTCCCCTGATGACAGCCGGCTAATCACACTGATGTAACCCTCTGAAAGATCCCTGTTAGCGTCTCCCGCTGGCCGGTGCAGCACATCAGGGAAGCAGATGAAAATAAACAGAGCTCCAGCCTCAGAAGTCCTTGACCGACAGAACGGGAGACAAGAGGAGTGAAAGAAAAACAGGCACTCGTAGGAGAGATCGCGTCCCAGAATGCTCGGGCCCGATCTCAGAGGGGCCAGTCATTGGCAGGATGTTTTTTTGAAATAGCGGTGTTGTGTTTTGTTGTGGATCAGATGTACTGATGTACTCTGTGGATTTCTTTGAGAGAAGACAACAAGCTGTGCGTCATGGCTGCGGGATCTCTCAGGGGAGAATTCAATCCTTGCGCTGTTGTCGCCCGTCACACCTGTTTATTATGACAAAATCTGACCGTCAACATGACCAGTCTTTTGTAACAGAACAGCGCAGTGGACTGTTTTTCTTCAGCTCTTGAAATACTCCAAATAACACACATTCTCTGTAATTTTAGCTTAGGAATTTTGTTTCATACCTTTAATTAATGAATTACTTCTATCATTTCTCCTAATGGCCTACACAATAGCTCTGTTTCAAAACCTATTGGGCTGTATAAGTGTGTATATATAGACATATTGACATATATAAACATTGGATAAGATCATTTATTTTTAATTACAACTTTTTCTTACATATATAATACTGAAAAGTATTGCATATGTATTCCAATATATGTATTAGAATTTGTATTTTTTTGATGTTTGAGTTTTTTAAGAAGTTAATGCTTTTATTTAGCAAGAAAACAATAAATTAAAACACTTTTTACAAAGTTATAACAAAAATGCTATTCTCTTAAATTTGTATTCATCAAAGAATCCTAAAAAAAACATCATATTTTCCACAAAATTATTAAGCATGCACATGTATAAATTACATTCTAAAATATATTCAGATATGAAAGTTATTTTAAATTGTAACATTTCACAATATTTTACAAATTTTGATCAAATAAATGCAGCCTTGATGATCATGAGACTTTTTTCAGAAGCATTTAAAAAAGCTTACCAGCTTCTGAACTGTAGTGTATTTATTCGTTTTATTCTCTGATGCCTAAACAGGCTTTTATAAAACTCATCAGAAACAAATGTTGAACATGTACTGTAAACATTTTATTAAAACTATATTTTTTTGTAATATTGGCTTTTATGAAGCAACATAATACTGAGAGAAGAACAAGTCCCCCATTGCTTGAAAAACACCTCCATGTCAGCTAATGCAAATTCACAAAGAGCACTTTTTATTCAGTAAAGATTGACTGAATCCAGACGCTTTAAGCAGTTTATAGCTATGCTTTGGTTTCTGTGTAAACCATTTGGATATAAATGTCATTCCACCTCCTCATGTAAATTAGATTTCATGGCTACCAAGTTTGTAATAATTCTCAATGGCCCACTTCCGATATCCATTATATTATTTGTTTTAATTTATGGCTGTTATTGGAAGAAATATGCAATGTAGTAAACCAGCAGTCACTTTATTTTCTGTATAGAGCTGCTACACAGCAGAAATGCCTTTAGTGTAAAAGCACAAGCTACGTGTTGCAGACACAGCATGTGTGAAACAGGCCTATGAGTCGACTGGTTTATAGTCCTATTTTAGACTTGAAAAGGAAAATTTCCTGGACGGTGTTCAGTAATAGTGCAGTACAGTATGAGCACAGTGCTGCTGGAGGCGTCTGTCCCCAGGCTGCAGTCGCAGGTCATGTGTGGCAGCCACAGGGGAAATGAGCCTTGTGCTTAATTTCCTTCAGCGCAGCCTTTACTGCCCCTGCAGAGGAGAGCTGCCCTGTCCAGCTGTCAGACTGTGGGGGGCTGTACTCCTCCCCTCTCCCCTCTCTCCTACTTTCTTCCTCTCTTTCTTCTCGCTTTCGGCCCAGGGAGATTCCCAGACGTTCTGCTCTGTGCTCGCAGAGGTTACAACAACACAGCTTTGGTTCGAGAGCGGCAATGGGAGAGCAAACCCTCATAACCCCCAAAGCACAGAGCGGTTCACCTAGAAGTCACTCGCAGAGAGAGAAGAAGAGGAAGACAGAGTGTAAATGAGAAGCATCGTTGGCATGGTGCACGACTAGTGTTTCTGTCTCTGACGTTTATTTTGGGGGAACTTTGCAGGGGCCACGATTAATGGTATTTCCCTGCCACTAGTCGCCTAACGTCCTCACAATATAGGTGGCTCCCTTTTTAGCTCTAAAGGTGTGGTCACGTATAATTTTTGGCCAAATTTTGCAGACAAAAATGGTTCATTGTCTATTGCTAATAGTATAGCAATGTATGATTTACAGCTCAGTTACTGAGCTGATTTACAGAAGTTACTTTTAAACCAAACAGCTTTATGTTGACTTTAATACAACAAAATCCTGCCTAAAAAGGCAGCTCACATTTTGAGAATAAAACTCAGCTTTTGAGAAACAACCAAATGTTTGAGCATTTAGGTAGGTAGGCTTCTGAATAGATTTTGAAACATTTTGCAATACCTTTATGATGCACGAAAGTGTTTTCTACGTAGGCAGCTGACTGTTTTTTTTTTAATTCAGCTATAGCTTGAATCTCTAAATGCACCTATGATGCCAAAAATGATTTGTAGGTGTGCAGCTCTCTAGGTTTTAAAACACAACCAGTGTTTAAATGTTTGAATGCACTTATGATGGCCAAAAATGTTGTCTAGTTAGACAGTGCACTATATTTGAAACATAGCAAATGTTCGTACATGTCTGTGATGCCGATAAACGTGACCCTGGACCACGAAACCAGTCATAAGTAGCACGGGTATATTTGTAGCAATACCCAACAATACACTGTATGGGTCAAAATTTTTTATTTTTCTTTTATGCCAAAAATCATTAGGATATTAAGTAAAGATCATGTTCCATGAAGATATTTTGTAGATTTCCTACCATAAATATATCAAAACTTAATTTGTGATTAGTAATACGCATTGCTAAGAACTTAATTTGGACAACTTTAAAGGCGATTTTCTCAATATTTAGATTTTTTTGCACCCTCAGATTCCAGATTTTCAAATATTTGTTTCTCAGCCAAATATTGCCCTATCCTAACAAAACCATACATCAATGGAAAGCTTAATTAGCTTTCAGATGATGTATAAATCTCAATTTAAAAAAATTGACCCTTATGACTGGTTTTGTGGTCCAGGGTCACAAATGTTGTCTAGGTGAGCAGCTCACTGGGATTTAAAAGACAGCCAGTGTTTAAATGTTTGAATGATGTCCAAAAATGCTGTCTAGGTAGGCTGCTTGCTAGGTTTTAAAATATATACATGAGATGTGTCATTGGCACATGTCTGGCGTTTCTAGAAAGACTCCATCTATGACGTTTATTGTGGGGGGAACTTTGCAGGGGCCCCAATCAATGTTCTTTCCCTGTCACTAGCCGTCTAACATCCCCACGAGACCGATGGCTGCCCTTCCAGCTCTAATACAATGTGGCGTTCATTGCTGAGGTGGAATGTGTCTGGAAAGATTAGTGCTAACATTAAAAAGCCTAATGCTGACCTCTGATTTACAGACACTGGAAGGCATCACGAAGACATGGGAGGAAACGTCCCTGGACATCACACCCTACAAAGACAAAGGTCACCACAAACTGAGGTGAGGAGCCAGAGGTTCCAGAAGGTCAAACGTCAAAAGCTTGCAGAGGTGCTCAATAAGCAGAATATTAAAAAGATGATAATGATGAGTCAGCTTCCTCAGGTGGCAGAGATTGTCTGTAAGTCCCTGGCCTGAGGGCCTATTCACACAGCAGTTGATGCAACTAAACAAGAAAGTATTTTATTTCATTTTCGCAATAGGTATCATTTGCAGCATAATTCCCTTCAGAAAAAGAAAACAAGAACAAAGTTAACAAAAAAAAATTCATAGTGAATGTCTGAAACACTTTGTCTTCCCTAGTAGCTTGCTACAGCCTACAGCTTCCACCAGCAGATTTTCCATTCTAATTGGGGAGTTGTCCTAATTGACTTTGCCTAATTGATATATTGGATTTTGTTTTACTGAGACATAATTGTACCATAACTTTCATGCTTGTCCAGTCGAGGGGTAATTGCTGAATTGGTTTTTTTTTTTGTGGCAGACTCCCTGTCCACCTAGGGACTGTTAGTGGCTTCATCCATGCTGTTACAGCACCGTAATGTGAATATATTAGTGCCAAAAACAAGACATAGCCTAAAAAACACCATTCCTTAACATGATGGAGCGCCCTGCTGCAGGGGAGAACCTTCACGCGTAAGGAGCCAGTAACTCCACATTATCATATTACTCTGTATGGCACAGAAAGAACGAGCAAATGAGACAAAACACTGGCTGTGTTTTAAAACCTAGTGAACCTCCTACTGCCTACTGGACAGAAATTTGGGCATTACAGGCATATTTAAATGCTCTTATCGGATTTAATGCTCCTATGATGTGGAAAAATGCTGTTTAGATAAGCAGCTCACTAGGTTTTGAAAGACAGCCAGTGTTTGAATGGACCTTTGATATCCAAAAATTCTGGCTAGATGTGTAGCTCAGTAGGTTTTGAAACACATCCAGTGTTTAAATGCACCTTTGATGCCCAAAAACACTGTCTAGGTGGACAGTTCACCGGGGTGTGAATCACAGCCACTGGCCGGACATCATCGCTCGCTCAGTGTCCGGTTCAAATCCGTGTTTGACAGCAAGCCATGTTTTTATACACAGACTAAATGGCTTATCAATACCAGGGCACCTTGAGCTCTGACACAAAGATTAATTACTATCAATCTCCTTAGAGAGCAAGACTCAGAATGGCTGCTTTAAGCCTTCTGGGCAAACAAGTCAAGGGTCCAATAAAGAACATAAACTGACTGTCTATGAACAAATAAATACTAGCGGGAAAAGCCATTCTAGTGTTTAGATGAGCTCAAATTATGCTGTTGCTCTTTTGGGTTTGATTGAGACCGTTCGGGAGTTTCACAAAGTGTTTAGTGCTTACAATTATACAAACGAGCTGTGAGCAGATAAGAACTGGAGAGGATGCTTTGTGCATATGGCAGCTGTACAAAAGCTCTAATCTAATAGAATCATTTGTACAAGCAGCCTCCTTCCCAAGGGCTGAAAGTTTTCTGAAAATGCCTTCAGGCCTGTTCGTATTTAGCTGGAAGCAGTGTGTGTGTGCGTGTATCAGCGTGTTTATGTGCGAGTTGCGTGGATGAATCGGAAACAGGTCAAAAGCATTGTTTGTGAAATTCTTTAGCTATTTGTCCATTTTGATGTAAGAGCAGTTCCATAGTGTTAGCTTGTTTTTTTATACGTCTCTACAGAGACTTCTCATATAGATTTTTGCGTGATTATGTAATTTTGCGTCAATACTCTTTGTGAGAATTTACCTCTGGGGACAAATTGGTCTATGATATTTCTCATGTGAATTAGCTCATCTACGCTTACGCACACACACAACCATATATATATATATATATATTAGGGCTGTCAGTTTAACGTGTTAACTTAATAATTAGTTATGAAAAAAAAGGCGATTAAAATATTTCAACCCAGTTAACGCACTGGCCCCGCCCCCAGACCTGTATGTCATCTTACATTTCAAACAGTTGACCCAGTTGACAAATATGGTGCAGGGCAACAACTCCATAAATGCAGTTATGCCCTAAAATTCAAGATATTGGTGCAAAAATGCTCCTGTATGAGTTTTTGTCTCATATGATGAGTGATATCACAAGAGCAGCGAGAGGATATCACATGAGTGCTGTTTGTCCCGAATATAACGAGTGCAAATGTCATTTTATACAACAGTTCAGTAAATAAGAAGTTAATATTGTGTTATATTTTTAACACAATATATTGTCTGTTTTTGCTCAGTTTTGGCAACAAAAATATTAACTATAAAGCCACAGCAGAACTGTTGTGCGTCTCCGAGCAACACAGCGGTGTTTAGTTTCTGAATGAATCTGCGTTTTGAACAAGTGTGCCGCACATCAAGTCTTCAAAAGTGAAGCCAGAACATTTCGATCGCCCCCAGGCGGCTGGTCCCAGTATAGGCCATAAACCCCTCCTCTCCATGTAATTTAATGGTACGTGAGACAAACTAAATAATTAAATTACACCTCAAATTAATTTTTTCCCAAAGATGGTTTTTGTCATTTTATGTAGTTTTTATCACGCTGATGTAAGTTCAAGCGTTCGTTTTTTAAGCAAGTTGGTTTTTAGTTATGTGATGCTATAAAATCAGGAGAGTGACATCATGATTGACAGCTGAGATTGACAGCTTCTCTGAGCAAACTGAGGCACCAGCTGACTTTTTTGGGATCTTCAGAGGAGATTGGAGTTGTATTTACTATATTTTAACATAAGCCTCTTGTACGACAATCAGCAAACAAAAATGGGAGCAGTCATGCTAATTAAAAAAGGGTCAGGGGCGTGCTCGCGATCGTTCTCCACTTCGCTCACTACTGCGCAGACTCTGGTCCCAAATCAGCACAATATGGCCGCGCCCTTTTGGGACGTTGGCGGCTTCACTTTTCTTCAATGGAAGAGAGTGAAGGAGGGTCGTCCATCTTTTTTTACAGTCTATGGTTTTGAACAAATCGGGTGAATCAATGATTCAAAGGTCCATTCATAAAGAGAGCCATTTACTGAATTCCTATATGAGTCAGCCGTTTGAATGAATTGAATGAATGAATGAATGACTCATAAAGACATTTACCCCACCTGCTGGCAGTTTTAGTTTCTTATTTAGAGTATTATTTCATTTAAAAAAGGGGGGGGAAACTTTAAAGTTATAGTTCACCCAAAAAATTTAAATTGTAATAATTTACTCAAACCTGAATGACTAGCTTTCTTTTGTGGAAGATAAAAGAAGATTTTTTTGAAGACTGTTGGTAACAAAGCTGTTTTGGTTACCAATGACTTCCATTGGATGAATGAAAAAAAAACTGAGATGTTTCTCAAATTATCTTCCTTTATGTTCCATAGTTTATTTTAGGCCGTTGTAGCCTAAACGTTTATGTGTAATAAATTTTATGTTGAATCAAATGTAATATTTCTTTCTAAAGCTACTATTTGTAATGTCTTCTTAATACTTTCTCGTTTAACACAAAAATAGCTTTAAATAATCTTTTGAGGGTGTTTTCACAGCGAAATGTAATTTGTAATTAATTAGATTCATTAATCAACACGTAATTAATTAGATTAAAAATTTTAATCGACTGACAGCCCTAATATATATATTTATTTATATATTAATAGTGAAGTAAAAAAGGTGCACATTTAATTTTAAAACGTTTTAGGGGGAGGGTTAGTCTGTAGTCATTTTAAATAAATTTTATATATAAAACAGTAAAAGTTATGTTCTCCTTCTTGATGGATAAGAAAATTTGTTTGTAATTAGCCGCAGTTTTGGGGCAAAATTGTTCCTTAATGTTAACTAAATCTGACAAAATCTTCCTGTGGAGACATTCTCAATTGGAAAATCAATGCATAAATAAAGCAAACACTAAAATAAATATATTTCTAAATTCAAAAAAGTTTCTTTTGGGGCTCTGAATTAGCCATTAATTTTTGTCTGTAGTCTCCATTAAGATATTGATCTGCCTGTACTTCTGTCCTTCATAGTCTTGTTTTCATTTAGATCAAATTAAATACCCCATACATTCTCATACTGCCTAAAAAGTCTGTGTAGGAAGCAGCTCGGTTGGAAACGTGACTGTGTATATTTAGTAATGCACTAATACGCAGAGTCATAAAGACTGCAGCTCTCTGTGCTATAAGCTGTCATATGCATCAGTGTCTCACACCCACCTGTGAGAGAGAGAGACAGAGAGCGAGAATCACAGGGGGTGGTGTCTTGCTGACAGGTAGGCATAGAGAGAAAAAAGCAAGTGAACGGATATATAGAGAAAGAGGGGGAAGATTCTTATTGCATATTTCTAGAAGCTTAGATCCTGCAGAACAGAGAAAGGACGTGGTCTCTCTCTCTCTCCCTCCCCTCTTTAGCACACATACCTGCTGGTATTGTTCGTCCCCGTCAGTGCTGCAACAAAAGGTGGACATATGCTTTATCTTTAGTTCTCCCTCTCTCACTCGTCTTTGATCACTCTATTTCTTCCTCTGTTTTTTTGTCGGTGGGGTGTATGCCATATCAACAAATACTGTGTGTTTAGTATTCAGCGGTGGGGTTGTATACAGGGGACAGAATCAATTCCAAATTACTCAGGCTCTCAATAACGGACAGCCCCGTCCGCAAGGAGAAAAGATGATTAATGATGATAGTATTCATGATAGAAGCTGAAGTGTTCGCACACAGATGGAGCTGTGTGTGCGTTAATGGTCCTGCAGTGAAGAGGCTTTCTGTTTGCTGCCGTGTACTTATAATTGAGCGTTTCCACACATTTAGCAGGACGGAGTGCAAATCACCTGTAATTACCACCTACAGCCCCGCATTGTACGTGCCACACACACACCCATTGTATAAACTCGGCGCATATAAGCATCTCTTTGCCTGCTCTGCAGTTGCACGAGTGACAGTTCTGCAGAATATGTGGTAAAACCGTCCTGCACCGAAGGTTCGACTGACCGATGTACTCTCCCAGCAGTCGTAACTGGTCTTTAATGACGCGGGA